CAATGCAACGTAACCGAATCTATTGTGGGTGACCTTTTAATGATGTTAAAACGTGTTGGGCTATCTTGCACTGTTTTCTCCTACAACAACTTCTTGGACACACACAAGACGCGACGCGAGACAAGACACAACACTTATCGTTCTTACCAGGGCTCTACATTTTCGAAGCTCTAACATAAACTCGAGTTTTGTTTCTCTCATACAAACTTGTTCAACGCTTCATTTCTATAATGCCTAGTTAGACTATCAGCAAGAAATGATAATGAAACAGAAGCACACTTAGAAGGAAACGCTGGCTGTGGATCTTCTCGTCTTTCAATGTAAGTAACGTCGATTTTCTAGTTAAACGAAACCTCATTATGGCTTTCAATCCCCTTTCACGAACACTCTATCACCGCTCTTTCAATTTGTTTAAAATGCGTTTTGTCCCGTTTTCGTTAATTTTTTTAAAATAAATATGTGGATGGAAGATAAATTAAACATATTACGTGTAATCTTCAAGTGTTTTCACGTGAGAAATGCTTTAAATATGTATTTTCATTTTCGGTCATATACGTCATGAAACCTCTTTGATTTGTTTCATGAAAGAGAAAACTATCAAAGTCGAGCGCTCTTTCGCTTATCCGTTTCACCGAAGCTTGAAAGGAAGACCAATGGAGCGACGGGAGAAAGAGAGACAAGCGATGGAACATTTGTTTGTGTACGCCGACGGCGGTTCTAGAATGCTGCGAAGCTGTTCGACTTTAACAGAAAAAGCAAGCCTGCAGTCTCTTCGTCGCATAGATTTGGTACAACGTTAAAATAAATTAAAATTTACCTTTCTGTCGACCGGTTTCGGGCAGTGAAGCCACATTTTTTCGATTTTCAATCTGTATTTTCATCGCAAAAAGTCTTATCTGACAAAAATCTCTAAACAAATCTGTAAATTTTTTTGTTATGGTCTTAGTGGAGCTTTACGTAAATCTCCATTGAGTTAATTCATAGTTAAGTAGGACTGTGTTCAAAGTTTAGAATCTTGAAAAATTACTAATGTTTGCTTTCTAATGAATTTGACTATTTGAAAAATGTCGAAATCCTACAATATTTTTTAAAAGTGATGTGTATCTTGTCTTCAGATTGAAAATACAAAAGATTAAGTTCCAGTTGTGAGAGGCGAATCTGTTTCCGGCTGAAGATTTTCTTAATGAAGTAACAATCACAATTTTCTAGAATTTTATTTTGTGTATGTCTGTAATTACGAAAACCTTTATCTGGACATTTATTTTTATTTCAACTCTGTAATTTTTCAATAAGTATTAACACAAAACTTTTACTGAAAGTTCAGCCGAATTGTATGCAATATTCCAAAGGGTGTTCAACTCGGCACACCTTAATTCGTGCCGAGCTACTAGTTGTGTCAAAAGCTGTGCCAAGCGCTCTGCCGAACGTACCTGTCAAGGACAATAAAGTATGCTTATCAAGCTGTTTGGAAACCCTGAAAGTTATGACTTTTGTAATTTTGTTTACATTCTCAATTTCTCTGATGGATCATGCTAGACATTCACCTCCATTCTTATTAGAGCGTTAGCGGGTCGGGAAGTGGAAGAGGAACTGCAAACCATCAAACCAATCAAGCATAGTTCAATCCCACGCTTGGAGCAACATCGTCGAACCAGTTTTAAATCATCTGATCGACTCAGAAGTGCGTGTCCTCAAAGATATAACTCAAGTCTATCGTATCGCTGATTATGATGCCTTCCCCTGAAGAACTGTCATACTTTGAAAATAGGATTCTCAGCCACCGCAGACTTCAGCGTAAGCGCTTTATCAGGCGCTTAGATCTGTATAGAACTCGAGAAGATTCCCCTAAAGTCCACCCAATTAAGACTAATGACTGACAAGAATACCCGAGGAAAAACGCAGGAGAAAATGTGAAAATTTCCGTCCTGAAGATACTCGGCAAAACTGGGAGCCAAATCTAGCCGCCCCCTATAATAAGCTTGTTTTCTTCTCTATTGTTCATAACAAAATTGATGGTGTACCTCAACTCTCGCAGAAGATCCTGCTCTGATCCTTGTACGCTTCGAAATTGGATACACACGACAGTATCAAATGTTATGTTCAAAATTAAGAAGTGTGTTCTGGAATAAAGCCTCCAGTGGAGGACAGCATGTGGGCTAGAATGTGAGCAGCGTTGGAAAAATTTCACGATATTTCACGAAGTTCATCAAGGAAAAAGTTCGTGAGTCCTAGTGCGTTTTGGTGAACTTTTCCAATAGTGAATATGAAGATTCATCAAACTATAAATGCTAGATGCTCATCGTTCCACAGTTAAATCCGATCTTCGCAGGATGCATGGTACTCTTCTTTTCATACGAATAACAGCATAGTGTAGGTGTTCTGCCATTCCCGTTGGGATCCATTTGCTTGATATTGATAAAATTGTTGGTGTGGCCATGGGGCATTTTTCACAATGATTTCATCCTCAATCGAAAACGAATCGTCTCTAGAGGAAATCCGTTTCAGCCGTCTTGACTGCCGTTTCGACAAGACACTCTGGACCGGCCATGGTATACATAGATAAACTCGATTGAAGTGAGGCCCTGATAGAAGCTTTTCTAGATGAAAACACGATCCGTGTGTTTTTTGCTGCGATTCAAAATAGATGGACTTAGTTTTGTTAGGTTTGAAGAGATTCACGATTCGGACAATACTTACAGAATTTTTCGAATGATCCCCAACACCGGTGGGTATGCGTTTGTCGTTTTCAACTTCTTGATGGAATCCATGTATCACCAGTTTTATGTATGACATTCTCTCACTAGTTTCGTTTGTGAGTAAACAAAGTATTGACCCGAGTAGTAGACCTTAGAAACGATCGGTAAAATTTCAACACTCAACAGTGATGCCGTTTTATATTATTTTGTTTATGTCCTACTTGTCAAAGTGTACCTTAATGTGCCGAACAATGTGTCATGCTGTGTTTCAACACAGTGTGCAGAGTTGATTGCCCCTTGCAATATTCTTTATTTCTGAAATTTTGTTAATCAAATATCAATTTACCCAGTTGACTCTTCGACAAATAAAAAGGGAAACTACTATTTCTTCCAACGAGAAATCAGAGCATCTGAACATCAGAAGTCCATTCAAAAGATTCCAAGTCCATTCGAAGCTTAAACAATAATAATTTATTTAGTGAAAAAGACGATTTGGGTTTGATGCTCAGATTGAATTCAAGCTGTCCAAATGAAAGAAAAGATTATTATTCGGAATTAAAAAATAGTATAACATATTTTCCCCTTATTTGAAAAATTTGAAAAATCTGTATATTTTTGAAAAATCTGTAATCTGTATATACAGATATCTGTGCCAAAATAGTGACAAAAATCTGTATGATTACAGATAAATCTGTATATGTGGCATCACTGGTTTCGGGCGTGACGTTGCCCATCTACGGAACAATGTCCGACCGCTTGTAGCCCAAGTATTAAAAACCCAACCAGCGAATCTCGATTGTAATAACTTCGATTTACAGTCGAAATTCCCTGGTTGGGCTTTTAATACATGGGCTGCTTTTTAGTTGGACCTCTGCTGGTTGATCTAATTAAGGGGTCATGCTTACCTGAAAATTAAAAAAAAAATAATATTTTATAGCATAAATCAAAAGTGTTTATATGGTAAATGATGGCTAACTGTTTTCGGCAACCAAAATTTAAATGCCAACTAACACGATATTTTATGCCGTTTTCCCTTAAAGCATCAAAGTTGTATGCAAGCGTGTAAACAAAATCGTTGTTTATGCTAATTTAACCTGGGGGACGTGCTGTCAAATCAGTCTACTGATCATTCTTGTATGAAACTGGCTCTAAACGTAAACAATCGCTGTAGGTTTCTTATGGCTTGTTTACGTTTGGAACCAGTTATGCGAGGCATGCGAGGTAGGCGACGATTGTTCGTATTTGACAGCCACCTCCCCCCCCCTTGAATTTTACTATGGGAGATTTTAAGCGATTAAAATTCAGAACTTTTTCTGTGAATATACTACACAATTTCAAACGATTGCGAAAAAGTACAAAGTTGTGTTTACCTTGCAATCCAATTTGACTGCATTTTGAAAATTGAATATTATATCTACATAATTGATGTTTATTGCCTCGATGCTTGTTAAGATAAACAAATTCGATGAAAATTGTCGTGATCGATTGAGTTTCATCTGGATCAGACTAGCTGACAAATGGCTAAAATGTTGATTTTAATCACCGTTTCCCATAAACCGAATACCTAGGTTTTTAGATTCTGAAAGAATTGTTTGTATTTCAAACATGTTGGTACTCTATACGAATCCATTAGAATGAGGTGATGCCATTGCAAATTACAAGCATCTACTAAAAAAAAAATACAATCAGTTTTAGCAGGCTCTAGCATACCTCATTCACAATACGCTGCATCTTTCGGTTACGACTAGCCATAAATTCCCCAGTGCCCCACTAGAAACGGCACTGCAGTTACGGAGACCTCCAACAACAGTGAATGATGGCGATGGCGGAGGTGTGTCTGGTTTCATTCTTTTCTACGATTATGGCATAGCGGTACCGGTTGTAAGTCTCTCGAACTGCTATGATGCTTAGCGTTGATATTTTGTCTGTGTTTCTCCTCGTATTCTACACAAAAACTCCCATCAGAGCGTGCCTCTCGAGAAACAGGTTTCCCTCTGCTCTCAACTCGAGCATGTGCTCGAATCTTGTCCGCTGGAAGAGACATTTCTCATTAACGGATTGAAGGGTGAATGAGCTGATGATTTACTGCTGAGAGAGCGGTCAGATTCTGATGAATCCTTGACTATGGTCAAGTTCAAGAACCGATCGATCAAAGAGAATGCTCTCTCGCAGTGAATGTCGGTTACGGTGCATAATCAGCTTTATGGTTTTTGGTTATTTCCATAGCATGTTCTTATCGTTAATGTCGATTTGCATTTAGCCAAGCACTGATGATTTAAATGTCTGTACCATCTTTTGTTTCAGTTCCAATGATCACCGCGCAAAATGACTAAACGAAGATTATTAAATCCGGTAGGTTCTTTTGTTCTACGTTCATCTTTCGAACCACAGTCACGTACAACCCATCAATCTATCCACAGACACTCGTTGTCCTTGCCGTCTACTGGACAACGTCTAGCTCCAGTGCGTACAGGAATGTGCAACCGGAAGCCAGTACCTTTCTTCGAGACAGCGTTGAAGCTGTCCCACCGCATGTCTATGAGAAAACCTCAGCCTACACCTTGGAGGATGTTTTCGGTGCAAAGTCTCTACCGCTTAGAACCGCTGTCGAAAGCGCTCCCGTCAATCTGTGAGTCATCGAGTCATATTGAGCCGATTTTCTCGATACTAAATTATCCATTGTTTCAGGGTCGATGAACGTCGCCCTTTGCGAGATGCCGTCGAATTTCGCATAGTGGACATGGATAATGCAATCGAAGATGTGGTCAGTGAGGTGAAATCCGTCGTAATCTCGGCAAAACAGTCGGTTGAATCAGCGGAAACGTTCGATTACCAAGCTCCTCAAATGCCAATCTTCCGAAATAAATATGCTGCCTACTCCTTCCCAATGCATTACGATACGAAAAATCCTCAGCCTTTCAGGTATGGGTCACCGTATCAACAGTTGGTGGATATCAATACGTTGAAACAGGTTCCTACGGTTGAGTACAATCAGTACAGTCATTTGCAAAAGGTAGCGGACTTGAAACAAAACGAAAGCGACTACAAAGTTATCTGTCATATGACCAACTGGGCTTTCTATCGAAAGGATGATGCTCAATTCGTCCCAGAGTACATCGATAACAAATTGTGTACCCATATAATCTACTCGTTTGCAACTTTGGATCCAGCGACCTTGATGATGAAGGAGTTCGACTCGTGGGCTGATTTCGAAAATAGTACGAGATTTATAAATTTATCGTTTGACATTTAATTAACATTTCCACGATCTATTTTCAGACCTTTACAGCCGAACCATAAGTGCTAGTGGATCGGTTCCGGTTTTGTTGGGAATCGGTGGTTGGACCGACTCAGTGGGAGACAAATACTCTTCGATGATCGGTTCGCCATCAAACCGAAGGAACTTCATTAGAAATGCCATCGTTTTTCTCAAAACACATGGATTTTCGGGGTTACACTTTGATTGGAACTATCCAGTTTGCTGGCAGAGCGATTGCTCCAAGGGACCTTCTAGTGATAGGCCAAATTTTACGAAATTTATTATGGAAATGCAACGTGAGTTTTCCAGGGAAACCCTCATGGTCACAATGAGTGTTTCTGGATATAAAGAAGTGATTACGGAGGCATACGAAATAGCCCAGCTGTCCAACGTGGTTGATTTCATGACTGTAATGGCCTACGACTATCATGGATCATGGGAATCGCAAACAGGTCACGTTAGTCCTTTGTTCGGCAATGCGGGAGACAAATATCCGCAGTACAACGTAGACTACGCTATGCAGCTATTGACGAAGATGGGAGCTCGAAAGGACAAACTCATAATGGGAATTCCAATGTACGGTCAAACGTTTATGCTGACTCGTAGTAGAGACAAAAACGAGGTCCCAGGAATTGGAAGTCAAGCATCTGGTCCAGGAGACGCAGGTGAAGACACCAGACAGCCGGGAATGTTAGCATACTATGAAATTTGTTACCGAGTTCGTAAACAGAAGTGGATGGTAGGACGTGATTCCTTGATGGGACCGTATGCCACTTGGAGAGATCAATGGGTGGGTTATGATGACCCAGTCTCCGCAACGGCTAAGGCCAAGTACGTTATGAAGTCTGGGTTTGGAGGAATGGCTGCATGGACAATCGATTTGGATGATTTCCAGAACAAATGTTGCGAGGAAAGGTACCCCGTGCTGAGCGCTATTAATCGCGCTCTAGGTCGATTGAAGACACCTCAGCCAACGGTGGTTGACTGTACGCGTCCAGTACAGCCAATGACTCCACCACCAGCTGTAATGACTATACCAGTAGATAATGGAGGCGCTCCTATTGCTACCACTTCTGCCACTACATGGCCAGCATGGCAAGAACCTACAACCACCAAAATGACTACAACAACAACACCGAGAACTACCACAACAACTACTGAGCGACCAACCACGACAACTCGTCGTACAACCCGGACAACGACAACCACTCGAAGACCTACCCCAAGACCTACAACGACGACGACAACTACCACAACCTATGTTCCACCGACAACTACTGTCGGAACTACTATCCCAGCGCCAGGACTTGTCCAACCAGAGCTAACGGAAGGTGAACTTTGTGAACCGAATCAATACAAAGCCCATCCATCCAGTTGTAATTCGTACTACCGCTGCATCTATGGAGAGTTCAAACAACAGTTCTGCGCCGGAGGTCTCCATTGGAACGAAGTCGCTATGCTGTGCGATTGGCCAGCATCTGCAAAATGTACGAAGGATAATGCTGCTCCTCCTCAGGCTGCCGCCATACCACCAACAACCACCATGGCTCCGGCTACCACGACACGAAGAAGAACTACCACCACACCGTACACCGCTGCTACTCGATGGACTACGAAACCTACCACAACTACTCCTCCAAAGCCTACCCGACCTTCTAAGAAACCCGTAACAACTACCAAGAAACCTGTGCAGCGGCCAGTCGACAAGTGCATAAACGGTGAATATTATCCGCACAAGAGTTGCGACAGTTTCTACATCTGTGTCAATGAGAAGAAGATTGCCCAACAGTGTGGGCCAGGGTTGTTCTGGAACGAGGACGACAAGAGTTGCGATTGGGAGGACAACGTTAACTGTGTTAGTCGAGCGCAGTACTACAAACTGTTGACCAAAAACTCCAAACTGGCTGCTCTGAAGGTGCTTTCAGAGGACGATCCATGTGAAGGGCACACCCATCTTCCATATCCAGGAGATTGTTCGCAATACCTTATTTGCAATTGGGGACGCCTGGAAGCGGCTAGCTGCGCCAATGGGCTTCACTGGAATCAGCGTAGTATGAACTGTGACTGGCCATCGAATTCAAAATGCACGCAGTCGGAGACTGCCGAAAACAGTTCAGAAGAAGGTGGTGAATCGGTTTCCGAAGAAGGACAGGATATCGATGGTCCTCATCATAAGCCCACTACTACGAGTACAACAACCACAACAACGACTACTACTACAACTCCAGTACCGATGCTAGAACCGCTCTCCGGTTACTATAAGATGGTTTGTTACTTTACGAACTGGGCCTGGTACAGGAAGGGATACGGTAAGTACACACCAGACCACATCAGGACGGATCTCTGTACGCACATCGTGTACGGGTTTGCAGTACTTGATTATTCTACACTGACGATCAAGACACATGATTCGTGGGCTGATATTGACAACAAGTTCTACTCGCGGGTAGTGGAAGCCAAGAACAAAGGAGTCAAGGTAACTCTGGCAATCGGAGGATGGAACGATTCAGCTGGCGACAAATACAGCCGCTTGGTGAGAAGCGCTGCATCTAGGGCCAGGTTTATTGAGCATGTCGTAGGATTTTTGGAAAAGTACGGCTTCGATGGTTTGGATCTTGATTGGGAATACCCGGTATGCTGGCAAGTGGACTGTAAGAAAGGATATGCGGATGAGAAGGAAGGCTTCTCAAGCTTGGTACGTGAGTTATCGGAGGAATTTAAGCCTCGAGGATGGTTGCTGTCGGCTGCAGTATCTCCCAGTAAGACAGTTATCGATGCTGGGTATGATGTTCCTAGTTTGGCTCGGTACTTCGATTGGATCGCAGTAATGACATACGACTTCCACGGGCAGTGGGACAAGAAGACCGGCCATGTTGCTCCACTTTACTATCACCCTGAGGATGAGATCGACTTTTTCAATGCTGTACGTCTGTTGAACATTGTAAATGTGTAATCTTCAGTCTAATGCCAGTATTAATTTTCAGAACTACTCTATCAACTACTGGATAGAGCTGGGTGCACCATCGAGGAAGTTAGTCATGGGAATGCCTCTGTATGGTCAGGCGTTTGCTCTTGCCGATCAGAAAAATAACGGACTGAACGCAAAGGCTCCTGGGCCTGGGCAAGCAGGAGAGTTCACTAGAGCTGCTGGATTTTTAGCTTATTATGAGGTCAGTTGATGTTTTGGGACGGGGTCAATACGATAATTATTTTCGTTTCATCGACAGATCTGCGACCGAATCCAGAACAAGGGCTGGACAGTGGTTCAGGATGAGCTGAAGCGAATGGGTCCCTATGCTTACAAGGGTAATCAATGGGTATCCTTCGATGACAAAGAAGCTCTGTTGAGAAAGGTACAGTTTATCCGAGCTATGAATCTTGGAGGTGGCATGATTTGGGCTCTTGACCTTGATGACTTCAAGAATCGTTGCGGACAGGGACATCATCCTCTGTTGACAGCTATTCGAGAAGGACTGAGGGATGCTCCAAGTGGAGTGGAAGTTGTTCGTGAGTATCTTCTAGAATGAAAGTCCTGATTTTGTACTGTAACGTACTTTTCATTTACAGCACCAACGGTTCCCGAATCAAATAAGGAAGAAGAGATTCATGAAACAATCGATACCAACAGCGTTGAAACCCATCAAGGCAATGCGGCGTCAAGTGAAAAGCCACTCGTCAACAAGGTTACTTCCGAAGAAGACGAAAACGCCATTGAGTCCGACGACGATTACAAAGTCGTGTGCTACTTTACGAACTGGGCCTGGTACCGTCAGAATAATGGAAAGTATCTACCGGAAGACATTGATCCCGAACTGTGTACTCACATCGTGTACGGATTTGCTGTGCTAGATCGGGATCGGCTGGTTATAAAACCGCACGATTCTTGGGCTGATATCGATAATCGATTCTATGAAAGAGTCGTTGAATTTAAGAAGAAAGGTAAGAAGGTAACGGTCGCCATAGGTGGATGGAACGATTCGGCAGGTGACAAATATAGTAGATTGGTGCGTAGTGCCACTGCTAGACAAAAGTTCATCGCGGACGTAGTTGCGTTCATCGAAAAGTACGGTTTTGACGGGTTGGATCTGGACTGGGAATACCCCGTGTGTTGGCAGGTTGATTGCAAAAAGGGATTTTCTGATGAGAAGGAAGGTTTTGCGAGCCTTGTCGTAGAATTATCCAAAGTGTTCAAGCCTAAAGGATTGCTTCTGTCATCAGCGGTGTCGCCGAGTAAGAAGGTTATCGATGAAGGATACGACGTGGTGACTCTTTCAAGCTACATGGATTGGATCGCGGTGATGGCCTATGATTATCACGGTCAGTGGGATAAGAAAACTGGGCACGTGGCTCCAATGTACGAACATCCGGATGATTTTGACAAGACTTTCAATGCAAACTTTACTATTCATTATTGGATAGAGAAGGGGGCCGATCCGCGAAAGCTTGTCATGGGAATGCCAATGTACGGTCAGTCATTCTCGCTAGCCGATAACAACGAGCATGATCTGAATGCTAAGACGTATGGTGGAGGTGAAGCAGGAGATTCCACTCGTGCCAGAGGATTCCTTTCTTACTATGAGGTAAGCTTCTAATATTAGAAAAACAAGTAGACCAATATTGCTCATCGATACATTTATTTAGATTTGCGCCAACATCAGAAACAAGAAGTGGACAGTCGTACGTGACAGGAAGGGACGAATGGGTCCCTATGCATACAAGGGCGACCAATGGGTATCGTTCGACGATCAATACATGATTCGACACAAAAGCGAGTTCGTGAAAGCAATGGGACTGGGTGGTGCAATGATTTGGGCTCTTGATCTTGACGATTTCCGTAATTTATGTGATTGTGAGGAATACCCGCTGTTGAGGACAATCAACAGAGTCTTGAGAAACTACCCAGGACCAGGACCAAGATGTGTTTTAGAAAAAGAACCCCATCGTGAAGATACACGACCAACTCGCCCTCCTATGAGTACCACTCAGGAAACTACCAGGCGACCAACCACCACCTCGACAACAAGAAGAACTACAATGAGCACAACCACCACTTCCACTAGACGACCTACAACAACGACAAAACGAAGGACATCCGCAAAGCCAACTTATACTACTACTAGCACTCCTTCCTACCAGGAGATTGCGAACGAAGTGAACGAGCAGAGCTGTACAGATGGACGTCTTTTCGTGCCCCATCCCACGAACTGTAATAAGTACTACATTTGCCAGTATGGAAAGTTGTACGAGCAAAAGTGAGTACTCGCATCTTTCCGTTTCCCTATTATATGTATGCAAATCAATCTCTCATTCTTACAGATGCCCTGCTGGTTTGTACTGGAGCGATGATCACTGCGATTGGCCGCAAAGTACCAACTGCCACAATAAGCAAACAGATACCCCAACAACTACGAAAAAGCCTAGCTATTCAACAACGCAGCGAACTACAAGGACTACGCGTCCACCGAAGCGAACAACCATGAAGAGTACTACCGCATCGTGGTCACCGGAGTCATCTACGACAGGTTGGTGGTCACCTGATACGTCTAGTATGGTGTGGTGGTCTCCGGATACAACATCAAAGAGACCAACAGCACCACCCGTACAAGATCCTGACGTCCAAACAACCGGCAATAATGACTTCAAAGTTGTCTGTTACTTCACTAACTGGGCATGGTATCGACAGGGCGATGGAAAGTATACCCCGGACGACGTCGATCACAATCTATGTACCCATATTGTTTACGGGTTCGCTGTGCTGGATCGTGAATCACTTACAATCAAGACACATGACTCGTGGGCGGACATAGACAACAGATTCTATGAGCGGGTGGTAGAGCATAAACGTAGAGGTACCAAGGTGACGTTGGCCCTTGGCGGATGGAACGACTCTTTAGGGGACAAGTACAGCAAGCTAGTTCGTAGTGCTTCTTCAAGGCGCCAATTCGTTAAACACGCCGTAGAATTCATCGAGAAATACAACTTTGACGGCTTGGACCTGGATTGGGAATATCCCGTATGCTGGCAAGTGGACTGCAAGAAAGGCTTCCCAGATGAGAAGGAAGGTTTTGCGGAACTTGTGAAAGAACTCGCTGTTGAGTTCCGTCCACGGAAATGGCTTCTGTCAGCAGCAGTGTCTCCCAGTAAGATGGTTATCGACGCAGGCTATGATGTCCCCGTTTTGGCAGAATACTTTGACTGGATTGCAGTAATGACGTACGATTTCCACGGACATTGGGATAAGCAGACTGGTCACGTGGCACCACTTTATTACTACCCTGGAGACACGTACGACTATTTTAACGCAAATTTCTCCATCAACTATTGGATAGAGAAGGGAGCTCCATCAAGTAAGCTAGTCATGGGGATGCCTTTATATGGCCAATCATTCTCAGTGGCTGATACGGGCAAGAATGGCCTAAACGAAAAGTCGAATGGACCAGGCGAGGCAGGGCAGTTCACTCGTGCCGGTGGATTCCTGGCGTTCTACGAGATTTGCGAAAAAGTAAACCAGAACGGATGGACTGTGCATCGAGACCCGGAGGGAAGAATCGGACCGTATGCACACCGTGGTAACCAGTGGGTATCGTACGACGATGTTGAGGAGATTCGGCGAAAGACGCAATTCGTGAAGCAGATGAAACTTGGCGGTGGTATGATATGGGCGTTGGATCTGGATGACTTCAGGGGACGCTGTGGGTGCGGTCGACATCCTCTGCTGAAGACAATGAATCAAGAACTGGGACGGATTACTACTAAGCGGCCGGAGAATTGTACTTAACAGCAAGATGTTGTTTATTGTTTAAGGTTTGATGCATCCATGTGGAGGAACCGGATAGAGTGAATTGATGTAAGGAAAGAACTGATAATAAAAGTAAAAAAATAGTAGTTTGTTTAAAATCTGTAATAGATTCGAATTCCGTGAACCGGCAAGAGGTCAGATGGTGTTGTGGCATTAATTTGCGTGTTGAGATGAAACAGGTTTGAATGCGTTGTTTACACGTGATGGGTTCATTGAATCTTCGCCAAACGTATAGGTACTTAATTATTTTATAGTGGACTCAGTTCTGATCAAATTGCTTCCAGTCGCCATGAACACGATTTCGTGAGGATGCCCTGCGGAGTAATATTTTCAATTATCACTCTTCCGGTATCTGTGCCACATGCCGAGCCCACCGTAGACTGTCGTGTTTAAGCTTCAAAATGTCCATTCGACACATTTTACCATACCATACCGTGAATATACGGTTTTGCCAGATTTTTTAACAATTTTTGTAGTGTACAAGGTATTTGCTGGAATGCAAACTTTTAATTCTACCAAATAAACTATTGTAGTTTATTATTTTTTTTAGCAACGATTTTTCTTTGTGTGTCTAAAAGATAATGTTTTCAGAGCACAACGATTTTTTTTTCGATCCCTTAGGCCAGTGATGGTCTCGCACGTGGTGCTTGAATCCCTATGATGCAACAACCTCATCATCAATTTCTTTTTGCATCACGAATGGCCGAAATTATTAGGAAACACACAAAATTTAGCTTAAAGAAATGAGATGAGCACCACTGACATAGACTTTCATCTCGATTTTAAAATCAAGATATAGAGCAAAATATGTTGACACCAAATTTGTTTTATTTTCATTATTTTGAACAAGTCGAGACACATTGGACCCTAGGAGGGAGAAGCAGATAGCACACACGGAATTCATTGTATACTTGTTGAAAATTTGTACCACTGAAATCAAATCAAAAGAGGCGCAGCCAGGCATGGAAAATCATTTGCATTCATTTCATACATTCATCTAACTTTTTTCATCAACAGCATTCCGCAAAATGATATATAGAGCTTTTGTAGGGGTTTTGTTATTAGCTACAACTTTTGGTCATAACTCAAATCTGTATCTCTTATGCATCACGAATTAGAGCGGGCAGAACTTGTTACTGTTTTTCAGTGAATGTAAAATACATTCATTGAAAAACAGTAGTGGCTTATGCTCGCTCTGGTTCGTCATGCATAAGAGATATGGATTTGACTTGTTAAGAAAAATTGTAGCTAATAACAAAACCTACAAAAGCTTTGTACATCATTTTGCGAAATGCTGTCGAACACAAAAGTTAAAGGCAAATGAATGTAAATGAATACACGATATGAATGCAAATGATTTACCATGTCTGGGCGCAGCAAAATGTCGTGTTTTGCTTTGAGCGTGTAGTGATTGTTTGCGATTGTTCAGTGTGCAGTGAGAAACTGTACTTTTCTGTTTTGTATATTATTATGTCACTAGATGTTTTGACAAGACCTTCGTTAATGGTATCTTTCAATATTGATTTGTGTGTATTTTGAATTAAAATTTAATTAAAAAGATACGGTGTCCCATTGAATGACATAGCCGGAAACGACGGTTTTTTCATAAATTACTTTACGCAAGATTTCAATAGCGCCTTGTGTATTCTTGTTCAACTGTAAGAAAAGCATCATAAAATTGCTTGGCTGCCAATGACAGTTCGTGACAGCAGCCGTCTGGCTGCATTTGAAGTTCCATTTTTCTCTCTTCGCAACTCTCTCTCAGATTGGACCTAAAGAGCCTGAATTTATGAAGAGACGACTTGTCAAAATTGGAACAAGCGATTATCTTTCAAAGTCATAGGAAAAGTTATTCCAATCGAGCAGAAGGCTTGTCAAATGAATAAGATGTCGTCTCTTTATAAATTTAGGCTCTTTAAATTGGACCCACAATGAATTGTCAAATGCTAAGAAAATAAACAAAACATACCCGTGCGCTGCTGGATGTTATTTAATTTTTTTGCCAGCCGATTTTAAGGTTTTGACAACACTAAAAAAAACTACAGATTAATACATTTCTACACAAAATACACGTTTATTTGATAAAAAAAAACTTTATTGCGTTCATCAATACGTTGGATTGAGTTTAGAATACACTAGTGAATCGCCACTCGTCACCCGGGAAGGGACTTGACATACGGTAACCGTAAAATACCCAATAATGACTACAAAGTAAGCATTTTCGAGGGAAACTGGGACTACCCATTAAAATGAGTAAAATTTTACCCATTTATGAGTAATTACAACTACAAAAACAAGTAGTAAGTATTCATTTTTGAATAACAAATACTCATAAATGGGTAATATTTTTACTCATTTAATGGGTTGGCCCAGTCTCCCTTACCCAATGCTTACTTTGTAGTCATTATTGGATTTTTTGCGGTTACCGTTAAATCCAGCTTCTCAACCCCGTTCACGTTACAGCCTATATCACGTAATATATGCTGTCTTGCAATGAGCATTCATACATACGATTTCCAGTGAAAACTAGATGTATGAGTGCTCATTAGACTGATGCAAAATTTGACTTTTTCGATCCACAGTGCTTAAATGGTTTCAAATCGTTTCCTGATTAGCCTCCCAAAGTTACAACTAATTTGGTTAGAAACAGACTTCGCACAAGCCATTTGAAGTTTACATGTAAATTACTATGGGAAATCTCAACTTTTTGTTCATTGCTTTCTAGTCTTTTTTCATATTGAACTGCGAAACAGTTCGATAACCATTCTTATAGAAAATTTTCTCAGATACAACTTTGCCCTGAACTTTGCTGAAGATCGTTTCTATGTAAAACGAGACAGGAAAAAGTTATTAATTATTTAAGAGATTGGTAAAATTATGACATGATCACGCAGCTGTTCTGTAGGCAACACTGTATTTTGCAGTGTGACATAGTAGCCATGATTTTTGTGTCCTATTCAACGCCCCAGAAACACCAATGTTGCCTGCTGAGCAGTTGATTGAGCATGATCATAAGACATCAGCGCATTGAACCATTGAAGACTTTCGATCCTTGCATTTAATCAAAAAGTGGTTTTGAGCAAAGTTGTAGCTGGGAAAATTTCCTACAAGTACAGTTGAAAGCTTTTGAAGCAGACCGATATGGTGAATTATTAGATAGACATGAATAAAAATCTTGGTTTTACCATAATAATTCCCATACAATCTTCAAATGGTTTGTGCCATCTCAGTTTCTCACCAAATGGGTTCAAATTTTGAGAGGTTAGTCAGGATCCGATTCGGAATCGTTTAAGTACTGTGGAGCGAAAATTTCAAACGGGGTATCACTCTTCTTAATGTTTTTGATGAATGCCCGTCGAAAATTAGTAGATGGTGTTTGACGAAGTTGACCAATGATGCCAGAATTGGGTTGTTTAGGGGTATTGAGTTAAATACACATTCGTTATCTGCATTAAAAATGGATCCGAAATCAAAAATTCCATCAATTTTGGTACAGTGGAACTATTTTAAATAAGTACGAAAAATCACCGTCTTAGCGCCCCTTGGTTGAACTTTGAATGGGAGCGAGCTGTCAACGAATAGATTTAGTGTCAACGATCAAAACCTTAAATTTTGATTTAAAAATCGAGATGAATGTCTACGGGATCGATAAAAATATCGTTGTTATCAGAAAATGAACCTCTATCAGATGATGTATAAAAATAGGTATATTTTTCGAAGTTAAACAACTCAATCGCAGAATGATTTTTCAATTTTAATTTTAATTTGATTCGGAGTTTCTACCGCAGTTTAGCACCTTGTACATAATTTTTGCTTAACACAATAAACACAACCATAAACAAACAAGAATATCCATCGCTTAAAGCACACCGTGGATTCTATTTTCGAACTTTCCTTTCGCAAATATAAACAATTAACAACGCCATTAATTGATTTGATTTAAAAATCGAGATGAAAGTGTGTGGGTTCGATAAAAAAATATCGCTTTAAAAACCAATATATTTTTCAAAATTTAAAGAACCCAATTGATTTTTCGAAAATTGAGAGGCTTTTTGGTTAGAAAACTACGGTACATCAGCCTACGGTACATCAGCAAAACGGCGATATTCTCCTAGTTTTTTTTATTCAACCAAATAGGTCAAGCATTTGTACGTAGCAAACACAACAAGAAAACAAACTGGCAAGAAATAGAGACGAAATAGACCTGTGCACAAATAATCATGACGAGTTTCTGAAGGACAAACATACGCCTAATTTTTTATGAAGACACGCTCTTCATAAAAAAAATTAGGCGTATGTTTGATTTTATTTTAAGAGATCCGAACAAATCCGGATATTTATTTAACATTTACTTTATAGTGATTTCTAAGACTATAGATGCTTGTGAAAACTATCCAGATTGTCGCCAACGAAGAACTCCTCGAGGTCCTAATCCGCAGGTCTAAGTTGATAGAATCCACAAATGGCCGCCCATATGGTTATTTTGCCTCACCTCTTCCAATTTTTGATGGTACGGATTTCAGAATCTTGTGTGCGAAATTATAATCTTTATAGTTTCTGAGATCGAAAATGGTTACTGAGGAAAATTAATCCCTCTTTTCAGCAAATCCACGAAATTGAGTCAACCCGACTCAATTTTGAGTTAGTCTGGACGACCGTGTTCAATATGAGTCATGTCTCTTCTATATGCCAGATTATAATCTGGCATCCCTGCTACAGAATGTTTTTCGACTATGCTTATTTCTCGCGTCACTTTTCAAATAGACCAATGTAACAAATCCACCATTTTGAGAAAATCGAAGTTGAAGTTCGACAGATTATTATTTTAACTGTTTAAAAACAATACATTCTGCAATACTATTTTTAATGTAGTCAGTGAATAATAACGTTGAAAATTCATAAGAAACGGTAAAATTAAAATTTTACTTTGAATTTCATGCTACAACATAGAAAAAACCACATAGGACGTTTTGACAAGTCGAGTTGTACATCGGACATGTTACATTGGACGATTTTTCTCAATGACATAATCAATGAGTGTTACATTGGACGTTTTGTCTACATGATACTAGATTCCCTTTCACAGATTTCAAAGTATAGTACCTAACTTTAGATTGGCCCCGCCTTTGGAAAATGAGCACCAATCATGTTAGGCAGTCCGAATGACCGAAGTAACAATCATGTACCCATCATTTCAAACTGTACATTGGACAATTTTTCATCAATGATTACCGTAAATAAATGAAAGTAAATTTGGATGGATGTTTTTGTATCACATACAATGATAGAAGAGCAATAGTTTGTATCGCTTAGCTCGATTTGTTTACATTTGTTACTTAGGACCATTTGAAAAGTGACGCGAGATTTCGACAATGTTGTACCGAATCCCCCATGTTAATCGAGAAACGTCAAATGAATCAAAACATTGCGTTGTTTCATAACACTTTCCATGTGAATTTACAAGTTTTTCGGTTTTTCACTGATACTTATTTTGATTAATCTCGACCATAATTTATTAAACCTAATATGCGAATCACCGGTGTGCTGCAGAAAATCGGCGATGTGTCGAAAAAGTTCTCCAACTTTCCGGATGCATACGTGAAACGTAGCATGGAGCAGGTTAGCAGGCAGTCTTATTGTTTGGCCACGGAACCGGTTCTTAACTGTTTTGTTTATTAATGATGCAGGTTTACTGGAAGACTCCCCGGGGCAAGCCGCAGTATCTGCCACGGACAGTTGAACGGAAACGGTTTCGTTTCACGACCAACCGCCCGTGGACGGGTCAATCCCGGCAGCAGAATATGCCGGGTACCATCCGAAAGAAGGTTTTCGTTGAACCCATTGCCAATTGGTCGTTTTTCAAAGGAGATCGAGTTGAGGTGCTCGTCGGCAAGGATAAAGGCAAGCAAGGTATCATTGGTCAGGTGTTTCAGGAGCGTAACTGGGTCATCGTCAGTGGACTGAATTGCCATTTGCGCAAGGTGGCAGATGAGAAGGACTATCCGGGCATTACGATTAAATCGGAAGCTCCGTTGCTGGTTACCGATCAGGTTCGGTTAGTGGATCCCTCGGATCTGCAGGGAACGAGCATCGAGTGGCGTTTCACGGAGGACGGTGAGATGGTTCGCGTATCTACACGCACTGGACGGATTATCCCCATCCCGAAGGGCAATGAGGAGACGCATGATTATAAGGCGAAAAGTTTGTACGTGGAAAAACCGAAGGATACGGTCGGGGATGTGGTGAAGGAGATTACTTTCAAGCCGTCGCTGCAGACATTCGAGATGGACATAATGAAGGAGATGGGCATCGAGGAGGACAGGATACCAATTAAAACGTACTGGTACTAACAAGAGCAAAAGTAGGGGGAAGGTGTGGCTGAATAGTTTGAAGCGAATGAATAATAGATTTATGTTGAACGAATACGGAGCTGTTATCATTATAGGGAATAGACAAAAAGAAACTCTTCAATCCTGGTCTTAACAGAGAGAATGCTTCGTTTTCATTACATTTATTTAGAAAATATATTCAGCCAGCAAATTTAGATCATTGCTGCGACTATTTGGTTGCTAAACATTTTGCATTAGAAACATTTCATTATTTTTCGCATTTAAAGTTACAAAACTGTTTTTGTAATGGCGCATTTATTCCGCTGAGATGGTTGTTTATCATTTCGCTTGTTTTAAGGCACCCAATATGTTTGTATCATTCGTTATTGCTTGCCTAAAATACTACTATGATAAGAGTGGGGATGTTGGACGACACTGATCTTTTTAGAGTATAGTTCTAAAGTACGACGTTTTCGTTTTTATTAAACAATTGAACATAAAAAAAATCGAAAAAATTCCATTTCACTTCGATATTAAGTTGCTTGTTGTGTTTGTGGTCTGCTTCTTTGTTAGATTAATTAAAATTAAAATTGTCCTTAAAAAATAATACAAAATTATGACCAGAAAATTTGGACGGCCTGAAGTTTTCTGTTTGCATGAGAGATTAACCCTAAAGAGCTACGAAACGAATACAATTCGTACTAAATACAATCTACAAAAAGAATATTATTAAAAATAAAACAATAACTTTCGCTTACTTCAGTTCCCTAGCGCTTATTTCAAATTAAAGAAAAAACGAACACTTGAGAAGTTAACGCTTCTCTTCTAATCTAACGGCTTTGTTTTACTATCTTGCTAGTTTGCTTGAAATTTGATAGAAAGAATAGTTAATTGTACACAAATGCCTTGGATGGAATCGTACAGAAAATTCGATGACATGCACAGTACGATTTGAGTATGATGCCTTAAACATACACTTAGATAAGAAACTCAAAAAAGTCTTGTATAAAAAACGAACATCATAAACAAACACGTATTCGCACACCGTCACGCATTCTCTTTTAAAAGTAGAGATTCTTGACTTCGTAGCTTGGGATTATGTACATTTTTCTCATTGTCACTGCTCCTCGTTATCGATAGATAGATTACCGGCACCCACGGTACCCAAGTTAATCGTTCCAGAAGATCCAACTGTTGGGATTCACTATCCGGTAGTGTCGGGCGACGATCAGCGCACTGGTCACGAGCAGTAGCAAAATCGATACCGGATTTCGAATTGCAGCATTGTAGATCGAACAGTATGGGCACTGGGAGCTACCGCACACTTCACAGATGTTTAGCAGATAGGTTTGCAGCGAATCGAAGATGGTTTCGTTGAAGCGTTCTGAAAATTTAAAAGGAACATTAGATGTGATGAAGCGGGTTTAGGGTGGGGCAACAAGGGTACAAACCTGGTGCATAGTAGTCGTAGACCCGAATCGGCAGGTATCTCGACATGTTGGCCACTGGCATCCACCGTTCCAGCGTGAAGTTTACGCATACGAATTCGTCGTCCAACTGAAATGACATGGTAACAGGTAGGAATTTTTATAAGGGAATTTCTATTTAATAAAAATATCTAGCAAGAAAATAATCAAACAGGTTTCATACAAAATTGGAAATAGGTAACCCATATACTGCCGCTCTTTGCATGTTCGTTCCATAGTGAAAATCGGCAAGCCGAGAAAATCTAGTTTTAAGTTTGCTTCGTACTATTGCTTTTTATGTGATGGGACAACCAATGTGACTGTCTTTCCAAACTTTTTCAGAACAAAGTTGATGAGTTCATCCATTGTTATGAAAATATGGATATTAATTAGCTACCATTTGCATTGAAAAACTCAGTTTTGACGGAAACGACTATGGGACCGACATGCGAAGAGCGGCAGTATAAGTGAAAGGAAAGAGGATTATAGACAATTGCTACCTTGAACATAAGCGCAGTACTGCCGGTGGTTGACTCAGTGGGTTCTTGTGTGTCCCATTGGGACTGCATTAAACATGCCTCACGTCTATCAACGCTTGGGAAAACGAAGGAGTCTGTGCCAGTGAACGGTCGTGTTTATTTTTGCTGTCAAGATTTTTGCTCGTGATTCCCCGTTATAAAGTGCTTTCAATGAAGAACAATCATCAATTTAGGTTTCGAGAAGTGTATTTTAAACTGAAATGTAAGTTTCTGTGGAACGTTCTACTCGTGAACGGCAATCGAACTGTACAATGTAAACTGCCTATAATCCCATACCAGTCCCATATGGAAAAAGTACTGCCTATAATCGCATATCAGTCCCATATGGATTTTCATCAATATTAAGATAACAACGTTATCCACTATCAATTATTGACCACTTTGTCAAGCAGTTTTGGGGTGACTTTCTACCAGCGATTTCACAAAACTGGACCAACTTTCAAACTATGTCTTTGGTGCTGGCTACGAAATATTTCGCTGCGATCGAAACACGAATAATAGTAGGAAAACTACTGGGGGAGGCGTCCTTATCGCAGTTAATTCCAAGCTGAAAGCAGAAGTTATCGAGGACGATTCCTGGAACAGGGTTGAACAAATGTGGGTGGCTATTCAACTTGGTGATCGTCAATTGCTTCTCTGTGCAGTGTACATTCCTCCAGATCGAACCCGTGACTTGGAGCTTATTGACGCACATTGTCGATCCGTCTTGGCCGCTTCAGACAAAGCAGGCCCTTCCGACGAAGTTATTGTTCTTGGCGATTTTAACTTACCGGACATTGCATGGATTCCAACCCATAGTGGTTTCTTTTGTCCTGATCACGAGCGTTCATCTTTCCACGTAGGAACCATCCAGCTCCTGGACAGTTATAGTACCGCAATTCTGTCACAAATCAATGGCCTGTTGAATGAAAACAACCGCACCCTGGATCTCTGCTTTGTGAGTGCTCGTGATACAGCTCCTTTCCTCTCCACGGCACCCGAACCTTTAGTCAAGGTAGTGCATCATCACCCTGCTTTAGTTATCGTGATCGAAAATAATATTGTCCATGATTTCACCAGCACTCCAAACGCTGTGTCATATGACTTCCGTAGAGCTGACCATTGCAGTATCGTCCATGTGCTGTCTAATCTAGATTGGGAGCATATTCTAGATCTTGTAGACGTCAACATTGCTGCACAAACCTTTTCTCACGTCTTGGCATATGTCATTGACAGACACGTTTCCAAAAAGATCATCCATATCGACTCTCGCGTCCCGTGGATGACGAAAGATCTTCGCTCGTTGAAAAGAACTCAGAAGATTTACTAAGCTCCGCACACTGCCACTGAAATGCTACTATGTCAGACTCAACCACGAGTATAAGCGGTTAAAAGTCGTCTCTGTTTTCAACGCTATCAAAGGAGGATTCAACGGCGGCTAAAATCACACCCGAAATCCTTCTGGAACTTCGTAAATGAGCAACGCAGGGAAGTCGGCTTACCCTCTTCCATGATTTTTAATGGTGAAACTGCTGGAAATCAACAAGACATTTGCAACCTGTTCTCAGCCAAATTTGCTAGTGTGTTTGTAGCCGAGCAACTCTCCGCTAATATTATTACTTCCGCGGCCAGTAATGTTCCTTTGATCAACCAAACGCTCAGCATGGTCGAAGCCACTACAGATACGATTTCTAGAGCAGCATCTAAACTTAAGACTTCAACTAAGGCTGGACCCGATGGTGTTCCGTCGATTATTCTTAAAAAGAACATCACTTGTCTTTTAGATCCACTGCGCCGCATATTCCAGCTCTCTCTTTCCAGCGGCATCTTTCCGTCTTGCTGGAAGACTGCGGATATGTTTCCTGTTCATAAAAAGGGAAGCAAACGTGACGTAAACAAGTACCGGGGAATCACATCGCTGAGTGCTGTATCAAAACTTTTGGAATTGGTTGTCATAGAGTCCCTAAATGCGCATTGCAGGCAATATCTAAGTACAGATCAACACGGATTCATAACTGGGCGTTCCACAACTACGAACCTGCTGTGCCTAACGTCTTACATCACAGATAGTTTGATTGCTCGGACCCAAACGGACGTTATCTACACAGATCTTACAACAGCCTTCGATAAGCTGAACCACGAAATTGCGATCGCTAAGCTTGATAGGCTAGGGATCGGTGGAAATCTTTTGAGATGGTTTCGTTCATACCTCACGGAGCGCCAATTGACAGTAACTTTGGGTACTTGTCGCTCAGCAAGCTTCTGCGCAAAGTCCGGTATACCTCAGGGCAGCCATCTGGGACCATTGGTATTTCTCCTCTACTTCGACGACGTTCACCATGTTATCACAGAGCCACGATTATCGTTTGCAGACGATCTGAAAGTTTTTCTGCGCATCCGCTCACTCGCCAACTGCCGTTCTCTCCAAAATCAGATTGACATCTTTGCTGACTGGTGTAGTCTAAACCGACTGGTGGTCAACCCAGCTAAGTGTACAGTTATTACTTTCTCACGCAAGAAACAACCGATTATTTTCAACTACAAACTACTAGGCACGACTATCGAACGGGTGCACTGCGTGAAAGACTTAGGCGTTTTTCTAGACTCAAAGCTGACATACTCACACCATATATCGTATGTCGTCGACAAAGCGTCCAGAACGCTTGGCTTTGTCTTCAAGATTACTAAGAACTTCACGGACATTTACTGCTTGAAATCGCTCTATTGCTCTCTCGTACGATCTACGTTGGAATACTGCTCTGCTGTCTGGAGCCCGAACTACAATAATGGGGCCGAGCGAATTGAATCTGTTCAACGACGTTTTCTTCGCTTCGCGCTCCGTAAGCTGCCTTGGAGATACCCACTTCGTCTTCCAAGCTACGAGAATCGCTGCCAATTGATCAATATCGAGCCCTTACGTATCCGAAGAGATGTTTTCAGAGCCTTAACCGTCGCCGATACTCTGCAAGGAAGAATTGACTGCGAAGCAATTCTGCAACAAGTGAACATTAATGTTCAACCTCGATCACTACGCAACAGTCTTATGCTGAGACTTCCACTTCTTCGAACTAATTATAGCATAGGGAGCGCTATTTACGGCTTGCAGCTAGTGTTCAACCGAGTAGCGTCGATGTTCGATTTCCACTTGACACGGAATATGCTTCGCTGAAGATTCTCTGCCTTTTTTGCTGACCGAAGGCGCTTGATACCCAACAGCTAAGTGTAAAATTTAAGACTTATAAATTTTTAGTAACTTGACAATGCTTTCCAAGTTATTTTCGTTTGTAACTGTAGTAACTGTAGTATATGTATGTCGTCTGTATAATCTGTACTTTTTTACAACACATCATTGGGACTATTTCTAGTCTGTTGATGCAACCATAACAAATAAACAAATAAACTAATTTCTATTTTTCTATGAAACGCACAAATGACGGCTACTTTTCTCGTGGTTCTAGAAGAAAAATTTTAAAAATAATGTTTTATTTCAAAGTTCGAGTGGTAGTAAACGTTATATTAACGACTCGATTGAAGTGGTTAATTGGCATCTACTTTCATATTGCGTGATAAAACTGCGGACTTTGATCATGAAAAATGTGAAAACAACATCAAATCAGTTTGTCCCATCAAGCAAAGTAATCGCATATCAGTCCCATCATGAAATTCTATCGTCCAGAGATCAAGAGTTCTGTTTTTTGGATCGCTTTTCTTTTCGCTGATGTAACAAAATATGCAAGCTTCATTGTAAGTGGTTTCATCTTGAATAGAATATCTATTAATTTACTATGATTTTTCAAATATTTACATAGCAATTGCACTTCGTAACAGTCGTAACAGTCGGTAAAGGCGCAGCTACAAAGCAAGACCATGCTGGAGGTGACTGAGTTCGATTCCCGGTCCGGTCTAGGAATTTTTCGGGTTGGAAAATTTCTCGACTCCCTGGGCATAGAGTATGATTGTACTTGCCATACAATTATACTAATGCAAAAATGTTAGCAGGCATCGAAAGCTCTCAATTAATACCTGTGGAAGTGCATCTAGAACATTAAGTTGAGAGCACGCAATAAGCTAATATGCCATAAGCAATAAGCTTGAAATACGAAGAAGAAGAAGTAGAAGGAGAAGAACTTCAACTGCCATTTTCTCAATGCCTACTTTTTCCATATGGGACTGAGTTTTTTCTTCTAGAACCACGAGAAAAGTAGCCAACATTTGTGCGATTCATATAAAATTAGAAATTAGTTGGTCCAGTTTTGTGAAATCGCTGGTAGAAATTCACGCAAAAATGCTTGACAAAGTGGTCAATTCCTATGTAAATATTTGAAAAATCATAGTCAATTAATAGATATTCTATTCAAGATGAAGCTTGCATATTTGATTACATCAGCGAATATGCCGATCCAAAAAACAGAACTCTAACTTGATCTCTGGACGATAGAATTTCATGATGGGACTGATATGCGATTACGTTGCTTGATGGGACAAACTGAATTGATGTTGTTTTCACATTGTTCATAATCAAAGTACGCAGTTTTATCACGCAATATGAAAGTAGATGCCAGTTGATAGTGGA